CAGTCTCTCCTCCAAAGATTCACCCACTTGCCTTTGAGCACTGATTTGTTGAATGTTCTTCACTGAAGATCATTTGACCAGATTACCCTTCAGTGGCAGACAGTAAAAAAGGCCATCAATGACCAACTCCAGGAATGGAGGCTGGACAGCTCTCTAATGAACTCCAGCTAATGCAGAAGAAAAAACGCTTTAAAAACCAAAGCAGGTGAAGGTCAAGGAATGATGATAGAGTAGAAAATGCTTTCATTCCTTTCATTCAAGAAAATGGCATGCAGGTGATTGTCACTGGATGGATCCACTGGGCATATGTGCCAGAAGTGGCATTGATGGGATGGAACTGGAGCCTGGGGGCATGTTGGTGAAGTGGTGAGGTAGTGACAGGGAGGAGGGTGTGCAGAGTTCCTGCTAATTCTTGTGAAAGCTCCAACAAGGGTGAAGAAAATGGATCATAATCATGGAAAGTGGCTACTCCAACTCCACGTGGTTAAGTAATGGACAGGGGAGTGTCTGAGAGTGAGGGCAACGCTACCTCGTATCTGCCTGGACAGGCACTTGTCAGAATCTTCAGGAGCTAAAGAGTGTACATTCTATGAAAACAAGTGTGCTTAGAAATGCAAATGCAATTAGATTACAGAATGCAATTAACAAATGCTATATAGGATGGTGAAAGATACTGTAGGATTGCAGAGCTGTGGTTTGAGGTGAGATACCCTACAGAGAGTGTGCAGCCACCTCCTGGCAGTGAGGTGAGTCTGCTGAGACCAGCTTCTCTTGATTGACTCTCAAGGTGCTCAGAGGCTCCTGCCATCTTGGAGGGTTTGTCATTGTGATTCCAAGATAGGAATTTGCAAAGTTCTCTTTACTGGCTGTACCTGGGGATGGAGGTGGAGGTTTAGAGGGCATAGTCTTGGCCACACCACTATATTATGGAGCCAAATCAAACACCCAAATAATAGAGTGCAGGGAGTCACACCCTTATGTCACTTGATTCTCATCATATCCTTCTGAGTAGACAGGGCATTAGTTAATTCATTCAGTCATTCATCTATCCATTCAACACATACTAAGCAACATGTACCAAACTTTGTGCTAGGAATTAAGAACATAGACAGACCTTGGTTTCAAGATGCTCAGAGCCTAAGCAAGAATATTAACTTTGATACCAGAGTGTGAAAACATCAGACTAGAGGTCTGTACAGGATGGTCTGTGGACACCCAAGAGAGGTGCTGGATCTAGCCTCGGAAAAAAGTCCAGGCAGTCTTGAGTTGATCTTGAAGGATGAGTGGGAGTGAGTCAAATTACAAGGAGTCAGGGGGTAGGGTTCAGATTCCAGGAAGTGGGAATTGCATTTATAAAGATATAGAGACATGAGAAAGTGTGATGACGGGGAGGGAGTAGGCATTAGAGTATGACAGGAGCAAAAAAGGTGGAGGCCTAGAAAGAAAAAGTCGGAGAGATAGAAAGGATCATATCATTGAAGAACTTGTATATCATACTAACTTTTTAAAACTTTATTCTAAAGTAATGAGAAACAACTGACTATTTGTTTCAAATTAACTTCATTGAGTTATTTTTACAGGCAATAAAATGCACTTGTTTTAAGTGTGCAACTTGATGAGTTTTGATAGACACATTTACCTGTGTGGCTATTGTCCGAAATAAGATATAGAACATTCCTATCTCCTCCAAAATTTCTTGAGCCCCTTTCTAGGTAACACTTTGCCTAACTCCCAACTCTGGACAACCACTTATCTGCTTTCCATCACAATAGATTAATTCTGCTCATTCTAGAGTTTCATATCAATAGAATCGCACAGTATGTTCTCTTTTATATCTGGCTGCTTTTACTCAGTATAATGTTTTGGAAATCCATCCATATTCTTGGATGTGTCAGAAGTTCATTCCTTTTTATTGATGAGTAGTATTCTGTTGTAACAATTGGTTTTTCCATTCATCTGTTGATGGCTATTGGAAGTTCCAGTTTTGGACTATTCTAAAGTTATTATTATTTTGGTATGTGGATGTGAAATCCTTTTGCCATGAGTTTTTATTTCTCTTGAGTAAATAACTATACAAATATCCAATAAGCACATGAACAGTTAGTCCAATATCATTAGTCATCAAGAAATGCAAATTGAAACTACAATAGGAGACTAGTACATACCTATTAGCATGGCTAAAATTACAAAGACTGACCATAACAAATGCTGGTAAGGGCAGAGAGGAACTTGGGCTCTCATATAGTGCTACTGGGAAAACAAAATAGTACACCCACTTTGGAAAACAGTTTGGCAGTTTCCTATATATATTCATATACTTACCATATGACCCAGCAATCCCACTTGTAAGTTTTTTTTTTTTTTTTTTTTTTGAGTCATAATGTTGCTCTAACACCTAGGCTGGAGTGCAGTGGCACAATTGTAGCTCACTGCAGCCTCAAACTCCTGGGCTCAAGCAATCCTCCCACCTCAGCCTCCTAAATAGCTAGGACTGCAGGTGAGCACAACCATACCTGGCTAATTTAATTGATCTTATTTTTTACAGAGACAAGAGTCTTGCTATGTTGCCCAGGCTGGTCTTGAACTTTTGGCCTCAAGCAAACCTCCCACCTTAACCTCCTAAAATGCTAGGATTACAGGCATGAGCCACCATGCCCTACCTACTAAATTTTTAACCATTGAATAACTTTGATAAGGGCAGCAACAGGAACAGATTTGGTTCTTAAAGGAACGCTCTAGCAGCACTGAGGGGGATAGGAGATTCTGTGTTTAGTCTTCAGAAACATTCATTTTTTATTGTTGAAAAATATCCCGTCATGTTTAAATATTATTTGTGACTAATTATTTCCTTATTGTGGCTAGTTAGGTAATGTTAGGTATTTTGCTATTGAATAGAGTTTGAATAAACTTCTTCATGTACAGAATGGGTTTGTTTCTGCTGAATTACTTCCTTAAAATGAGTTTCTAGGATTGAGATCATGAGTCATTGTTCCTAAAATTTTTATGCTTTTTTGCAGCCAAGTGTCGTCTGACTGCCTAAAGATTGTAGCAGTCAATAACAGCATTTATATTATTAATTATTTTTCATAGATCAGAAAAGAGAAGCTCAGATTAGTGAATTAGCTAACACAGGTAGGAAAATACACAGCTGTGCTTTGAACCTGTGTCCTGAACTCATCCTTAGTCTAGTGGTCCTTTCTCTCCTGCTTGCCTCTGTTAATCAAATTGTTTCTTCTAGCCACACTTGTGTCTACATGAGAACCCGTCCTCTGTGCCACGGACCCTGCTAGATGCTAGGACTGCAAAAGAAGAAAATGCAGTTCTTCTTTTAGAGGACCTTATGGCCTAGGGACCTTCCCCAATTCCCTGCTCTCTGCCTCACTGGCATGGAGAATATCTCAAGTGAACAGACTGAATGACAAAAGGAAGGAAAGAAAAAGTGTTAAAGCCATATGCCAGGCTATGGTTTGGATAATAATTTTGACTCAGCTTCCAGGACCATGCTGAGAGACAGTGAGCGAATTGCATCCCACGTTGTGCCAGCATTTGGCTGGGTCAGCCAGCCACTTGGGTGGAGGCCTGGAATTAAAAAACCTATCTCACTGGGACATGACAGCAGAGATTCAGTGTGAGCTTAAGAAGGAGGGAGAATACAGAAGCGTTCAGCGGGGAGAGTGACAAGTTGAAGCAATAGCCGGGGGAGTCTGATGGAGGCATTCTGAATTGAGTACATTTTATTGTGAACAATTCACATTTCTTGAGTTCTTTCTATGTGGTTGGCATTGTTCTAAGTACTGGAAGAAAGTAGAAGAAAAGGGTTTGGGGGCTGGAGATCAAGATGTTCCAAGAAACATCTGGCAGTTATCAATGCAAGTCAGGTAGGAGGTGGAGTATGGAGGTGGTCCCGTCACATTTTAGTGTGTTACAACTCTCTCCCTCTATTCCTCACTCCATTTCAGCACCCCCTTTCTCTACCATCTCCCCCACAGCACGTCCTGGGCCTCCAGACACACAGGTAGTTCTGTGCTGTTATCCCAGCCCCTCACAGAGACACCTTGCCCAAGTCTGTCCCCCTGTGCTAGGATGACAGCTCCAGATGCCTGCAGATGCCAGTCAGGTCAGATGAATGAGTAAAGAAGGATGTTACAGGGGACCAGTGGTGGGGGCTGTGCAGAAATAGCTCCTCACCATCTCAACAGAGCAGCTGCTACTGCTCTGCGAGATGAATACTGTGGATGCTAATGGAACTGGACGTTACTAGATAGCCCAAGGCTCCAGGAGTGGGGAAATGAGTTTATAGGAGATTTTCACTGTGTTTAAATTTTGGATATCCAGTGAATTTAAACATTTTTTTTTCCCACAGTTAGTATTGGCCAAATAAAATAAGACCTTGGACTGGCCTCTACTGGGGGCCTCTCATCTGTGCTTCTGTTTCAGTCAATGCCATGTTTCTTTCTCTTTCTCAAAGACTGTCTCTCATTCCTAGGGTCTGCTCCCTTAGGACCCAGGGAGGTGGCTGATCAGATAATTAAGTTCTGAGCTTGATAATGGCTTCATGGTGACAAATTTGCCGTTGCCTTCCAAGCCATGACCTGGAGGTACTGGGGCAGATAGGGAAAATTGAGGCCCCATAGGAGGTGGGAGTCATCTCTGGGTGGGCTGGCCTTTTTGGTCCTAGCCCTCAACAGACCCTATGGGCAGCCTATGGGCTCTGACCCTATCTAGAGTTAGCTCCCTCTTCAAGTTTTCTGGGGACACTCAGTGATTATTTACAAATGGCTGCATGTGGGCCTGGGGCTTGGGATGGAGAAGGGTTGGCTCTGGGGGAAGGTAACTACAGAAAGGCAGGAGTGACTGGTCCGGAAGCCCTCTCTGTGCAGCTTAGGTTTAGCATTAAGGTCCTATCTGCATTGCCCAGTATAGTAGCCACTAGTCACATGCGGCTATTTAAATTTAAATTCATTAAAATTACATAAAACTTAAAAAAAATGTTAGTCCTCAGTTACACTAACCACATTTCAAGTACTCAACAGGCACATTGAGCTGGGTGGCTACTGCATTAGCTGGCACAGGTCTAGAACATTCCATCACACAGATAATTCTATTGGACAGCACGGCTGGGCCACCAGCCTGTGAGGAAACAGGCCTGGGGGTCAGGAGAACTGAATTTTGGTCTTAGTGCAGACACCCACTGGCTTTGTGACCACAGTCAAATGGTTTAATTCCTCTGGATCTTGCTTCTTCATTGGTAAAAAGGAGATAACCTTTTTCTACAAGATCCCCTTGAAAATCAAATAAAAATACAACCATGTTGGCATTAGAGTGATTAATAATGTTAACGAGGCCCATGACTTCCTAGCCAGATGCTGTCCTCAATGAGGGGAGGAAGCCTTTACTCCCCTCACTCGGTCTTCAATCTAATTCTTGGATTTTACTGTATTCACTTTGCTTAGCATAACCTCAGAAAGATTCCCTAGGTGCATGTAGGCAGGGAGGACGAGCAAGAAGGAAGCGCCGTGACGTGGATGCTGCTCCATGAGTTCGGTAATGCTTAATTTGCACAACTGTCCAAGATAGACTGGGGGAGGCTCAGGGTTTCTTCACTGGAACCAGTGAAGAAAGGCGAACTCGAGGGGTCAAGCAGATCTGGTTAGCAGTGGATACTGGTAATGCTGAAAAGCTGCAGGGGATCAGCTCTAGTGCCTGGCGTGTGGGAGAAGCTTGAGAAATACTTGTTGAATGAATGAATGAATGAATGAACCATGCAGTGGGTAAAGGCTAATGGGCAGCTGCTGATGCTCTTGGCTGCTCTGCTGACTTCTCCATCAATATGAAGTCTTGAGTTAATGGGGCAGGGGAGTGGAGCAGGATTAACCTGAAAATAGGATGCAGAAAATACAGAGGATGTATTTCTTGGGCATCTGCTATGTTCTAAGTATTCTTCATGTTTCTCTGTATTTCTTACAAATACCCTGTAAGGTAGCTGTCTTTATCTCCATTTCATAAGTGTGAGTTGCCCAAAGTCACATATATTTGTGCAACCATCACTTGCAGATCCAAGATTTAAACCTTAAATCCATACCTTCCTGCCTATGCCAAACTACCCCTAAACAAGTAGCATGTTCTCTCTGAAGACACGTTGCCCAGACTTTAATGCAATAAGTTGCAGTAATCTCTGAATTTTGGGGGTACTCCTGACTTGGCTAATGCTTCTTTTGGTTTAGTTTTGGTTTTAAACTGGCTTGTTTCTGCACAGTACCATTTATACAAGGAATTCACAGTACTTTGTGGTTAGGTTCCTTGAACATACAACAGCATTAAAGTTGTTTTTTATCCCATCTGTAAATGCAGAAAATACAGTGCAAGGAAGTCATGTGACTTGTCAGAGTGTAAAAGTGAGTCATTGGTGAAGTGTGTACAGAAATGAGGACAGTTAAGACTGTTTTGAGAACTGACATGAATCTAGCATGTATAATATTTTGTATCTATTGTTATAGTTATGGAATTGGTTAATGTTTTTTGCTTCTTTAATTTCAGTGCTTGTAATTGTGTATTCCAGAATGCAACAAAGCAATGCCAAGAGGCTTTCAATAACAGAACACAGGCATCAGTTACAGGCCATTCTGCCTGGAGATTAGTTTCTCTTATGTGAACAGCATGTTGAGTCACATCAGATCTTCCTTACTACTTTTGTTTCTATTAATGGCTTTGCAAACTCTCTCCTTGCAAATGTGTCTACATGGCTAAGGGTGTTCAAAGGAATGAACATCAGAGAATTATAGGGGAGCCCTCTGCCCTGGTCCTTCCTGGACCTTTCCTTTCACATTTACCCCCTAGATGATGTCTTTCAATTGCAAATGTAACCACATCCTCTCATGTTCCAAAGAGGACCAACCTGGGAGTCTAGATGTTCTGGGACAGGGTCTCCCAGGGATGGACTGTCCAACTCTGTTCTCGGGGTTGCCGGAAGGCAGCCTGGATGAAAGAGAAAAAGAAAAAAATTAAGTCAATCGTGTGTACAAATCCACAGTGGCTCTGATACTGAGTTCCTCAAAATGTGTTTCACAAGATGCCAGTTCCGTGAACTGATCTTTGATAAACAGATTCCAGGTCCAAAGATCTGGGGAAAGTTGTGGGTGGCATCACCCATGTGGAGACCCACAGTGTAAATCAGCATATTAGAAACGACAGGAGGCCCTGTAGAAAAGAAACCCATCTCTTTTCGTTTAAGATACTGGCATCTTTTGATGTTTGTCTCCTCCCGATCTCATGTTGAAATTTGGTCTGCGGCATTGGAGGTGGGCCTTTTTGGGTCATGGGGGTGGATCCTTCATGAATGGCTTGGTACCCACCTTGTGGGACTGAATATGTCCTTGCTCTTAGAGTTCCCATGAGCTCTATTTGTTAAACAGTCTGGCACCTCCTTCCTCGCCGCCTCTCTTTCCCCTATGTGATCTCTGCATGGCAGCTCCCCTTGCCTTCTGTCATGAGTGGAAGCTTCCTGCAGCCCTCACCAAAAGCAGATGCTGACACTATGCTTCTTGTACAGCCTGAAGAACCGTGAGCCAAATATACCTCTTTCCTTTATAAACCACCCAGGCTGAGGTATTCCTTTAGAGCAACACAAAAGCATTAAGACAGATAGGTTTTCTAAAATTTTCCTGAATGTGGAACTCCACTCCCCCCCCCGCCCATCACATCTCTGAATATCCCAGGAAAATACTGACCGTTGAGGGAAGAGGCAGGTGCAGAAGACTGGATCTACTGGTTGAAAGAGTGAACCTGCTTCCATCGCCTGTTACTCAGACTAGTAAATCCCAGACTCTGTTTAGTAAATCACCATGGTAGCAGGAAGCTGACATAATAATATTCAAAGCACATAAAAGTGCCTTGACTTTGACCGGAAAAGCACCCCTGTCACATGCAATGCCTAACAAAAAGAAAAGGGCTACAGGCCGGGCCTCCCTGAAGCCTGATCATTTGCAGTGACTTCCTCGGAGAAATCCTGCTGACTCCTCACTCAGCGTTGGCCTTCTTCACTGTATACTCTCTGAGAACCTGTTCCTTTCCTTCAGAGCACTCGTCTCCATTGGAATTAGTGATCTACTAGCATGGTTATTGGTTTATAGCTTTCATTTGACTAAAAGCAGCAAGAGAATACAGACTAGTCCATAATAGGTCTTCAATACATATGTGTCAAAATTTTTTATTAAATCAGTTAGGGGTCATATGAGTGACCCCACATCCTTTGGGACTCATTAAACCAGACACTTCTGCACCATCTAGGCAAAAATCTGTATGAGTTTGCTAGGGCTACTGTAACAGATTTCTACAAACTTAGTGGCTTAAAATGACAGAAACTGACTCTGTCCTAGTTTCGGAGGCCAGAAGTTTGAAATTGGGGTGTGGAGGTTGATTTCTTCTGAAGGCTCTGAGGGACACTCTGTTCCAGGCCTCCCCCGGCTTCTGCAGGCTGCTGGGAATCCTTGGTGTTCCTTGGTATGTAGACGCATCACTTTAATCTCTGCCTTGGTCTTCTTCTCTCTGTGTGTCTCCTCAGAGATACCCATAGAAAAAAACTCAGAATCTCTCACGTGTAACAAATGCTTACATGAAACCTTCTGCCGCAACACTATGTCCTTTCCTGCCAGCAATTATCCACCCACATCCTCCTGTCTTTTTTCTGAACATCTAAGGTTCTCTAAAAACTGGAGGCTTACTCCTCTTACTCTCATTAAGTCTCTCAACAGCCATTTGTTGGTCGTCCCTGAAGGGTGATAAGACTTCCCCAGGTGGAGAAGACAAAGGCATTTCAGGTGGTGAAAACATAAGGAGCAAACCTTGGTCTGGTTGAGAAACAGAGAATAGTTAATCTCTTTCTTTCTCTTTCCCATTTTTCTGCTTCCTTGCACCAGCAAGTCACAGAATTCCCAAATTACCCATGCACACACCTTGTCCTTAGCCATAGCAGGGTCAGATTGGTGTGGCTGGAGCTGTAGACAAGAGACTTGCTGTAAAAGAGGTTGCTAGGTTGTGAGCAGAAAAACCCAGGCAGTTAACAAAAACAGAACTGGGAATTCCACCTTCCCCCTGGAAACTCACCTCTTGGATGAACTACATGATGACTGTGAAGTCTTGGGAAGCGGCTGCCCCTGAAAGAAGTGAGGCTGAATGTAAACTTGCTTGTAGAGAGTTGTGATTCTGCATGAGAATTCGCTTCCTCCAGGGAGAAGATGAGAGCCAGAGAGCTAATCTAGAAAACTGAACTAGAAAAATGTCCTGTCCTACTTTCAATAAACTATGGAGTTCACAGCTTCCATTATGAATGAACATCTCAGGGAAATATATTGGTGGAGCATGGGAGGTGCCCTGTCTTTGAGTATGGAAGCGGGGCACCTTTGGAGCCATGGTTACCTGTTGGCTAGGATTCGCCATCCCAGAAAAGCTCTCCTCTTTGCGAGTCCCTTGCACACCTTTATCTTTCCCTGTTCAAACCTCAAATATGCACTGTTACAGAGTAACGCCCCTGGGTAGAATAATAGCTGGCATACAATAATACCTCTTATTGTCCCATATTACTTCAGATGAGGTGTTGAGGGCATAATGACAGCTCCATCAATATACCAAGAAGAAAAATGAAAGAAGAGGCAACGTTTTGTCTTTTCCTGGTCATGGGGAAGGGGAGAGAAAGTACGTCTGAAATAATCTATTCGGTGTTTTCATCTACTCCCTGAAAAAAAAAAAAAGTAAAATGTGAACCCACATTTTATGAGGAAGAGCTTGATAAAAAGAAATGAAAGGCCGAGGAAATTTCTTGATGACTGCCAAATACATACCTTGCCTGAAGAAAAACATGTTTCCGAGAATTTTGTAGGAAAAGAGGGAAGAACAATGCAGTAACATCAATATGTAGGTCTGTGGAGGCAGGAAATAGTTTCTTAAAATTAAACTTCAAACAGATATTGATGATTTCAATATTGAGACACTTAGAGGAAACCTTGGATGGGTTTTAAAATTTCACTTTCTAATATTCATCTCCTTTCTTTACAGGATGCCAAATCTAAGAACTTCAGAATTAAATCTAAGGGATATAGTACTTGGGATGCTGGAAATCTGCACTAGCAAATATGTCAGACACTAATAACGATGGCTCTGACATATTTACATGGGAGAGAAAAGACACCTTTTCAATTCTTTCAGATCAGGCATATGAAATATATGTCATTAACCCTAATGCATTAGAGGCCCTCAGCTCACATATTTTATTTTGCAAAAGAGCACTATGTACATTTCTCTCTAATGTCTGCTTGCTTTGAGAAATCTTTTTACCCTTCACACACAGACACACAGACACGTGTCTTCAAAGTAGGTAAACTTCCAAACTACATCCTCAACCAGGTGAGTTGCAAAATGGATCATTCCGTTCTTTCAACCAAAGAGAGAAACCATCATTTGAAAGTTTCCTTCCTAAGGCTGGAGTGTGGAGTGGAGACTTGGGGGAGGAGGGTGGACTCTTTTGGGACACACGTTAGAGGCTTTGGGAGCCTTCCACTCGATGGATGAGGAAACTCTCATCTTAAATAATACTTGTTGGACCAGGCGTGCCCACTGAATCCTTGGACTGCGTGACACAAGTGCTGATGAAAGTCAAGCCAAAGAAAGCAGCCAAGGAGGGACCAGAGTGGAGGGAGGATATTTCCAGATGAGATTTGAAATGAGATCATGAGTTGATGAGGTGAAGACATGCAGGATGGCTGTTTAGAAGACAGGAGCTGCAGAAGGTGTCACTGCTTAAAGCTTGAAGGGACAGGAACATCAAATATTAAAAGTTCTACATATGGCACAAAACATTGTTTTAGAATCTGAAAATGTTATAAGAATACAGATTTAATTTTAAGTGGCTTTGCTGAAAATGATTTTCAAAAGCCCAGTAGTTGTTTTACATGATATGATGGTGCAGTGGTTGAATTGTGGCTGCCAAACACATGTCCCTATTCTACCCCCAGACCTGTGAATGCAACTTTATTTGGAAAACGTGTCTTTGTTTTTTCTTTTAATTAATTAATTAAATTAATTAATTATTTCTGTGCCTGTGCTTACCCCACCCCCTTTTTTCTAACTTAAAGTTAAGAATCTGTAGACGAGATCATCCTGGATAACCCAGGTGGGTCCTAAATCCAATGATAAGTGTTCCATAGCCACAAAAGAGAACACACAGAGACACAGAGGAGAAGGCCTTGTGAAGAAGGTGGCAGAGACTGAAGTTACATAGCTACGAGTCAAGAAATGCCTGGAGCCACCAGACACTGGGAGAGGCAAAGAAAAATTCTCTGCTAAGCGATTTCAGAGGGAGCCTGGTGCTGCCAGCACTTTGATTTTGGACTTCCGGCCTCTAGAACTGTGATATAAAAAAGTTTCCCTGTTTGTAAGCCACTCAGTTTGTTGTAGTTTGCTGCGGCAGCCCTAGAAAACAAATACAGGTGGTTGTAGCAGGATCTTAGCACCCAGACAGACCTGGCTGTGAATCTTGACTCCTCCTTTTCCTAGCCTTTTGCAAGTTATTTAGCATCCCTAAATATTAGCTTTGGCATTGTAAAAAGTGTTAAGATAATGGCATCTGCCTCATAGGTGTGAGGAGTAAAGGAGTCAGCGTGTGGAAAGGATCAGTAACGGTGGCTGATGTCATTATACTGACAACTGTCTCCCTTACTTTAATCCTCGTGCCCTCGTGTGCACACATCACCCCTGTGTGCTGGCTGGGAAGGGGTTCTGTCTCAGTTCCAGATCCACCTTCCTATATTCTGCTCTGCTGGGCTGGGACTCTGCTGACTACTCATCTTCTTTGCCAATCAGGGACCCTCGGGGGAAGCTGGTTGGCACAGGATAGGAGGAGAGACTTGCCCCTTCTGTTTGTCTGCCTGTGCTATCAGCAGCACCCCAGAATTGACCTTTCACCCTGGAAGCAGTTTTTGTTCCAGTGCGTTGTGATTTCTAGCTTCTTGCAGTACTCCTGGAACCAGTCCCATCACAGCTGCTTTGAGGTACCAGCATGAACCAGACAGTGCCCCCTCCGCAGGAGTCTGAGTCCCGGCTTCCGAGGGGCTCCTCCTTCAAGCTGCTGGGAGCTGATGACCCTAGACTGCTTCCTAAGCTTCCCTGCCCCTTAGAGAGGGTAGCTACTTCTTATATCCAGTCCTAGAGGTGCTCGCTACTTCCTAACAAGCTTTTGTTACTCAGGGTTCCCCATTTGCCTCTCATGTACCCCCATACCTGTTTAACCAATTTCCTGTAATAAATTCTCTTTGTTAAAATCACTAGTGAAGTTTTGGTTTCTGACTGCACCCTGGCAGATACTGTACTCTTTGCGGGTTGCTTGCTTTCCTATGTGTATGAGAAATGGTTGGTACAGCCGAATAAGCACTGAATTAAACCCAGAAAGATGGAAGTTTGTTCCTTGGCTTCTTTACTTTCTAGCTGAGAAATCTTGGCCAAAATACTTGGCTTCTTTGAGAGTCCAATTTTCTTATTTGTAAAGTGGGATTAATAATGTTTATCTTGTAGGAATACATATAGTTGGATGAGATAACGTCTAAAAAGCGTCTGGCACCTAACAAATATTTGAAAGATGTTGGCTATCATTTTACATGTATCAGAAATATATCTTTGCATTTTGTATCTCTTATAGATTCCTCTGCTTTTCACTCTTGGGCTTATAAACTCCTCTGGGCATGTCTGGACTTTCTTATTTCAGCTTCCTTGGTTCATTTAGGGTATTTGTTTTAGATAAGAAGACTGAAGTTCTATTGTATTAGTTAGCATGACCCTGAGCAACTTCAGAATGAGGATGTGATAGTTATGAGTACGAAGGGAGTTGGCTTTAAACTGAACAATAAATCAAAGATGAAAAACAAGACCCCCACTGGGGAGTGCCACCGGAATGTCTCTGACACCGTGGTGCTCGCCATTGTTCACTCAGCAATCTTTTCTACATGGATGCGTTCCTGACTTTCAGAAGCACAGTCAGTAAGAGGCTATGACATCCCTGGGGGTGGTGAAATGTGAATCAAAAATTAAACAAATATAATCTGACTGGGACTGTTTGCCCAAGAATTAGTCAAAACTCATTTGAAGCCACTCCCATGTTTAAAGACTTTTTCAATGTCAAAAAATGTAACATGCCAGCCACCAAACATTCTCTAGCCACCTGCTGAAAGTAAGAAAGCATTCAGGAGGGGCTGCCAGAATTAAAGGCAAATGAAAACTGTGGTCCTAGCCCATGTGGGATTTTTGAGTATAACAAGGAGACCAAACTGACAGACCCAAACTTAAATAGAATATCTGCACATGTGAGTCCTCTAAGTTCTGCTATTACAGGATTTTCCAGAACTCCCAGGAAGATTCCTGATGCAGAGCCTGAGGCATAGGAAACACCACTGAAAACTTCTCAGAGTCTGTTGGGAATGATTTCTCCATTCTTTCTTCACATCCCCTCCATCCAACCTCAATACTCTGACGGTGTTGCTGAGGGTCATCATGTCAAACTACAGGAGGCTTGACTCATCCATTCGGTTCTCAATCACTCCTGTTATCCACCATCAAAGTGTATCCTCCCTACTCTCTCAGAACCCTACTCTCTTTCTTTATATGAAAATATTCAGCTAGTCAGCTATATAAACCAGGTTGTACACTAGACACTGGGCTAGGCTTCCTCACACAAAGATACATGGGCCATAGACCCTGGCCTCAAGGAGCTTACAGTCTCAGCAAGAGAGACAGACAGGTGAACCTGTGTGTATGAAATCTTGGGTTCTAGGATGATATAGCCAAAATAGGGAGTAGCCACTCTAACAAAGACATGATGAGAAAGAGTTTCACAGATACTTCAAAATGGATTGTTTAGGGAATATAAATTTAGAGTGTGAGAAAAAGGGAACTGCAGGCACTATGACAGAATAGAGAGGAGGCAAGCAAAATGTTGAAGTCTGAAAATACAGATGGATGGCAGGTTCCAACCTCAGGGGGCCAGGAAAAAGAGAAGGGGCCAGGAGGGTGGTAAAATCATTGGTTTGGGAGAGATCACAAGAAAAAGTGTTCTTGCTTTAACTACCTTTGTTTCATGCTGCATTTGGAGAAAGTGCTTGGCGGAAGGAACAGGGCCCTGTGCTCCTGTCATCAGAATTCCTCGACTGGGATTCTGATGACAGGTCTGCTGTATTCCTCCCTACCTTCTGGCTCAGGAAACAGAACAATGGATATTTTATTCCAAAGATATCCATTGGGCATCTCTTGCAGCATGGCTCTGTGCTAGGTGTAGTGGGAGGTAATTAGTGTGCTTTTTGACAAGTATTTGTTGAACATCTACTATTTTTCCAGCACCATGCTAGCTGCTTTGGAGGCAAATGAAAATTGACAGTTTCTGCCATTAAGAATTTGCAATTTTTGTTGGGAAGCCAGATTTATATGTGGATCTCCATGTAATAGAGTCATGGCCAAGGGGGAGGTATGAAGAGGATTCCTCAGGGGTACAGAGAAGCAGCACTCAGGCCAGCCTGGAGCTTCTGGGAAGGCTTCAAGAGGTGTTGGAGGCTGAGCTGAGTGTTCAAAGGTGGATAAGGGGTACCTATGTCAAAAAGATAGACAGAAACTCCAGACGGAGGAAAGAACATGAGCAACGGTGCAGAAATGCCGAACAACAGGCTACATATTGGCAACTACCAGTGCTTTAGCACAGCTGGAGAATAAAGTGTAAGTCAGGGAAAGGCCAACGAGGAAATAAGAAGGGTAGAGTTCAGTTCATGCAGGACCTGAGGTGCTGGGCAAAGTGTGGACCTTTATTCTATTGTATTGGGGAGCCATAGAATGTTTTACGTTGAGAGGGACAGGCTTAGATGTCATCTAACTGCAGAATAGAAGATGGCTCAGGGGAGGGCAGATGGGGAGAGAGCATTGGGGGAAAGAGCTAATGCATGCTGGGCTTAATACCTTGGTGATGGGTTGATAGGTGCAGCAAACCGCCATGGCACACATTTACCTAGGCAACAGACCTGCACATCCTGCACGTGGACTCCAGAACATTAAGATAAATGATCATTCTTAGTGCTTAATGTGTTTTATATTTCTTTAATAAATAATACTTAGAAAAGAAAAAAAAGAAGATGTCTCAAAAGGGTCAACAGTGGAAGCAGGGAGTCAGGAGTCTTATTCAACAGTTCAGGAAAGAGAGAGTGAGCTCCTCAGCTAGGAAAAGGCAGGGTAGGCGGGGAGGAGGGGATGGGTCTGAGGACTGTTTAGGAGGTAAAAGAAGAAATTGGCTTTAATGATGGGCTGGCTAAGGGAGATGAGATAAAGGAGAAGGCAGGGATGAATCAGGCTACAGCTTGGCTGAATGAGGCAACTGAGATAGGGAATATGAGAAAGAGCAGAATGTTGAGGATGTGGGGAAAGGTTATGGGTTCAGCTTTGGTTGGATGAATATGAAGCACCTGGAGGGTGTGAAAGAGGACTTGTTCATATCCTGTGCCCACTTTTTGATGGGGTTGTTCGTTTTTTTCTTGTAAATTTGTTTAAGTTCTTTGTAGTGATAGACTGGATACAGAAAATGTGGCACATATACACCATGGAATACTATGCAGCCATAAAAACAATGAGTTCATGTCCTTCGCAGGGACATTGATGAAACTGGAAACCATCATTCTCAGCAAACTAACACGGGAACAGAAAACCAAACACCGCATGTTCTCACTCATAAGTGGGAGAAGAACAATGAGAACACATGGACACAGGGAGGGGAACATCACACACTGGGGCCTGCTGGGGAGTGGGGGGCAAAGGGAGGGAGAGTATTAGGACAAATATCTAATGCACACGGAGCTTAAAACCTAGATGACGGGTTGCTGGGTGCAGTAAACCATCATGGCATATGTATACCTATGTAACAAACCTGCACATTCTGCACAAGTATCCCAGAACTTGAAGTAAAATAAAAAAAAAAAAGAGGACTTGTTCATCAGGGAGTTGGATATCTAACCTGAAATTCCTAAGAGAAGCAGGAGTCACCGTGAACATCATCAGCATATGGGTGGCAAGAGAACTGAGACAGGGGCTGGAGTCACTTACTCATGAAGGGCAAAACAGGAGACAGAAAGAAGAATAACAATCCTCCTTCCCTTGAGGGAATACATAGTCTATGGGGGAGAGAGGTATGTACCCAAATAACTGTAATAAAGGAACCAGACAATAATCTCTATATTTAGAGCAACTGCATTTTTCCTATCAAATATTGGATCATGTGGTCTCACCAAGGTTTGGCCACAGACAAAATTGTTGAAGGAGAATTGTGTCAGAAATCCACTTGGCTTAGTTCTAATAGAGGTACAAGTAAAGTGTTTTTTTTTTTTTTTTTTTTTGAGACGGAGTCTCGCTCTGTTGCCCAGGCTAAGTAAAGTGTTTTTAAAACACTGAATAAGAAATTAAGAAATTTGTGGAGAGAGAGAGAGGAATTTGAGATGATTCCTGAAAGTGGACTTAGAAAGCTTCAACTCTACCTGTATTTAATACTATCTTTGTTGCATATTGTGTCAACCTGCAGCCAAGAATAGGGTTGGCACTGGTGAAAAAATTGTGAGTCCTGCAATAAGCTCACTCCGGCTAAAGGATTTTAGAGGGGATGCGTCTTAGGGCTCCAGGTCCTCTTTTGGACTTCTGAGATCTAGTAATTTGTACTGGTGTCATCTTTTCCTACCCTGTGTCAACCAATGGGCATACACCTAAATGTATATGATGAATGAACTCCATTGTTTACAAGTGTAATGGGGTCTCAGTTATATGTAAACTGGAATTCAGAGTATGTTTATCAGCAGAGTAAATGAGCTATTGACTAGCTAGCTTCCCCTTCCCCCTCACATCTGTTTCTTGACTTGTTCTGCATGAGTTTTTTTTCTTTCCTGAAGGGTGGTGGAGGTAGTTTAGTGCACAGGGATCTTGGAGAGGCATGAAAGAAATATGAATGGCAAGAATTCCAACAGTGTGTATCTCCTTTACTTCGTGTTGTGAACCTCAACTTTTTATTTGGGAAAATTTGAAATCTTCCGAAGGTTGCAAGAATAGTGCACTGAATACCCTTCACCTGGACTCACCAATATTAACACTTC